AAAAAAAAAAATTTACCTTGTTGGAGAAGAATCCTTTGCCGAGGCCGTAGAAATTTTTCGACATTTTTTTGGATTTTTTTTTATGCTCGAATCGTTCGTTGAAGTTCGGAAGTTTAGAGAGATAGAAAGTTTAGAGAGATGAAATCAAAAAAAGAGTTAAGGGCAAAAGAGTAAATGGGGGGGCGGTGAATAGCGATTGAGTTTTTTTTAAAAAGGTTCACCCAAAGCCAACAAAGCCCATAGGCCGCGTGTCTCAACCCATCGAGGTCCACATATAAATGGACCAAATATTTATTTTTTCTTTCATATGAAGCGAGGGCTTTCCGGTCATTACATAGTATCCAATTGGACTTCAAAGACGGGTGGAGTCAGGTAGCCCATTGTGGATTTCGGCCATGGCGGCTCAAGCTCCGGATTGCAGGCCGTGGGGCCGTGATGATTTTCTTAGGAGGTCTTCCATTCCAAGTCGATGACTTGGTTTGCCAAGCCACAGGTTTGTTTGTGTCTGGTCTTTGAACCCGCTGCCATTTTTTCACTTCAAGTTCATACATTGGCTGCAATCACTATTTGCTTTGTGAAAGTTGAGGAGATTGTTAAACCCGCGAGTTTTGATTGGTCTGTGGATACGTATTTTCTCAATGCTTGTTGAATTTAAAATGCATTTTAGGCGATTGTATGCATCTAATTGAATTCAATTTTTGGCTTGTGTTCTGTAATACATTGTTGTTTCATCTTCTTGGATCGTAGCTCAATAGACCGTCTAAAAAGGAAATGCCAACAAAGGAAATGTTAGCAGTAGCATTCATATATGTTCAATGCTTGTAGGGGGTTCTTGGTAACTTATTCATTGTTAAGGTTCTATAATGTGCAGGATTCACATTTCTATATTTAGTATAGGATTTCCTATTTAGACATAACATAATCAATCATTTCAGATGGTAAGCCCCTTGGAAATGTGCTAGAAGGGGTTTGAGTTAACATAGACATTGATACAGATATAAAATTGCCTGTGCCTTATGTAATGCATGTCTCCTTTTCTCTATTCCATCAACTTCCACACAGAGACAAGGCAAGCAATACTTTTACGAATTAGCTCTTCTTTTGCAGTGTTCTTTAAGCTCCGTAATTCTTTCATAGCATTATTGCACTTCTTTTCTAATGTTAAGTATTTATGAAATTGCACATGTAATTTGAATCATGAATCCTGAATCATTGTTTCCCCCATGTCTTTATCAATGCATAGTCAGTTGTGAAATCTGATAGTTCTTCCACTTATTTTGCCTGTGTCCTTTGATAACAAGAGAAGCTCTTGTTTGAGCAATATCTAAGAGTCTTCAACTTTTTATCCACTTGCCTGCGTGAAAAGACTTTTTATGACTCCAAATTTAGAGAACCAAAGTGCTGAGAGAAGCTGAAGCATATAATTTATGGGATGTTCTCGAGTGTTAAAAGCAGTACAGTTCAATAACGTGGTGATTTTTTGCTGTTCTATTGGGCCATTCTAAAATATAGGAAACATTCTGTGATTTGTATGATATTATTTTGCACCTCGCTATTACCCCTGGTATATATCCCTCTTGCATGGAATGAGATGGGACCCATGTAAATATGACGTGTCCCACCTCGGTGAGATGTAACCAGGTACAGGTTTGGTATAACCCAATGAATTTATGATTTAGGTGAATCACAACTAGCACAATTTGAATCAGAGATTAGATTGCCGTTCCTCTAATGCTAAATCTCCTTTGATTCTTTCAAATAGCAGGATACTTCTTTATACCTCTTTTCTTTACGTCGTAACTAATATCTGCTTGTAAATACCATACCAAACCAAAACAGTATTGTACTTGTGATCTCAAGTATAAGAACAAGTGGAAGTCATTGCAACATGCATAAAATGGGTTTATTTATGAACAAAGTGATTCCAAAACGATAGGGTTTGAGTGACATGACCATACCTGAAACAAAAATATTGTCAATTAGCAGTCATCCCATGATAAGGCCGCAATTGGTGACGACAACCTTTGAATAAGGTCTGTTGAAGCCTCTCTCTGCCACCACAGCCCTCTTGTCTCCAATCAGCTTTGCCACCCTTCACCCAACAAAAACACAGGTTAGATACGCCCATTCACTAATAATAGTTTTTTTTTTTCTATTTTTTTTTTCTGGTCATGGTTACAAATATCAAGAAGATTAGCTAGCTCGAGTATAATGATATCAAAATAAAACATTCTTCTGACAAGATTTAGCATAATGTTTTTTCATCATTCTCCTATAGAGACTGGCATACCTAAAATATGGAGAGCTGGAGTTGTCTTGCACTGTCTTGACCCGAGCAATTCTATCGACAACATCCATCCCTCCAACAACCCTCCCCACAACCAAAGCCGACTCGTCCAGCTCTAGCGAGTCCTTAGTGACTATCACAAACTCCGTGCCATTAGGGTCCATTCGCATCTCCTCCTCATCTATTTCAAGCTTCCCTTTACGCGCAACCACCTTCAGCTTCGGCGGCGGCTTCGCCGGGTCCCGCACGATTATGCTCAAACTCCCGGCCACATTCTTGATCCCGCACGAAGAAAAGCCCCTCTGTCTCTCGAATTCCTGCACAAGCGCCAAAATTTTCCCTTTTCGCCCCTCGTATGATATGAGACCTCCGTTTTGCACGTAGCCAGGCATTATCTTCACAAACTCTTTTTTCCGGTAGCTGAGCCCGGCGGCTCCGCTCACGAGCTCGGCAAACCTGGCGGCGCCTGACGGGACTGCGGCGTCGTACAGCCCGACGGTGATTCGGCCGACAGGCTCGCCGTCTATGGATATGTCGAGGAATGCCTTTTGTGTTGTATTGGTTGGATTGGGACAGTTGGTCGGAGGCGGAGGGGCATTTTTGGGATTGATGGTTTCGGCTCTCGATGGACTGGAGGTGGTGATGGAGAGCGGAAGTAAGGGTGACGAAGCGATTAGTTTTCGTCGGGAAATGGGAATGGGAGTTTTGTTGGGAGAAGGGGAAGATGGGTTTGGGTATNACGTTGAGGTTACGGATGGGATTTTAGTTGGTGTTGTGGATAAAACATGAGCAAGTTTTGTGATGTCTTTTGTGGCTGGATTAGAGGTTGAGTTGTGCTGACGTGGATTAGGGTAGGGTGGGTGGACTGGGGGGATGCAGGTTGTTATATATTTTATTTTATTTAACTTTTCGTTGCCCCTCAAAGAGGTGGATTTTGTTCTACATCAACTCAACTAATGAATTTTGTCTAGTTTTTTATTTGAAAAATAAGACAATCCTACCGGGGCATATCATTTTCGTTTGATATGCGATTCGTGATATAGATCGACGAAAAAATGACAGAGTTTTGAATTATGTGTCTTTCGATTGGATATGAGATTCAAAAGACTTGGATATGAGATTCGTCATATTATGCATAATCGTTAATTATACGGTGTTATAGATTTTGATATGTGAGTGGTAAATTATGCGAGAAAATGTAGAACGAAGAAAATGGTAAAGAGCTTAAACCTTCTTTTGAGTCTTATCATAAAATATGCGACGCTTGACTTGGACATGTGATATATATGCAAAACATTCTCACATATATTAAATTATGTGGTGAATTAAGATGAACGATTATAAAACATGCTGAAGTATTTCGCATTATTATTATCTATCCATCCGATTTTGATACGCAATTTGGATATGGAATTATTATATCGCATATCATTTGTAAGTTTTTGAGGTAAAAAAGATTTTTTTTGATCCAACG